GAAGCCAAACAGCAGGATCACAGCTCACCAGCTCAAATCCCCCAGCAACTAAGACTAACCTGAGCACAACCAAGCCCCCACCTGAACAGAACACGCCTCCAACCAATCAGAACACGGCTAACCCCCCAACCAATCAGAACACAGCCAAACCCCCTACCAATGAGAACACACCCCCACCCAATCAGAACACAGCCAAGCCCCCACCCAATCAAGTCCCACCCCCACTAGCAGTTAAAAGGAAGAAGCAGCTGCAATCTCACATCACTCTGAGAAGCACAGAGCCGGAGACAGAAGCCTGAAGATGATGAATGAGACTTCATCGAAACGTTGCCTAGATACTTCGAATCTTACGCGGGAGAAAACCCAAACAACCAAAGATCCACATACAAATACCCGCGAAAACCTCAGAATATATATATATATATATATATATATATATATATATATATATGCGCCACTGCAATTACTGATTTATATTTACATCACAGGGAGAGAAAGGACTTGATGGCCCTAAAGGTGAAATTGGAGCCCATGGATCCAAGGTAAAATTTTGTGGCTTTTTTGCCAGGTAGTAAAATAGTATTGTTCTATTGCTGCAACTTGTTATGAAATGCAATGTATACTTTTAGAGAAGTTATGGAAGAAACCTTCACATTATGATGCGTGATGTGTTTGCCAAAATATATGTCAAAAATAATAATTATTCAGAAATGGCATAAATCATACAATCAGTTAAGTTTGGAGCCAAAAAAAGAGACTCTGCTTTATCATGTGTTTCCCTGAAAATAATACTGGGTCTTATTTTTTTGGACCAAAAGACCCATTAGGTCTTATTTTTGGAGGAAGTCTTATTTTGTGGCTGCCCACCCACTCCCTCCCATCATCTGCTTGCCTGCAGCCACCATGGCTTGCACACCTTCCCAGGGCAGATACATTTTTTGCCCGGATGGAGAAATGGAGACTCAAAGCTTTGTCTGCTTGCAAATGAAATGCTTTGAAATGGAGCTAATCTTTCAGTTTCAAAGTGGCCATTTGCAAGTAGATGAAGCTTCGTCTCTCTCTGGGTGAAAAGTATACAGCGGAGGCAGAGGCATGGGAGTGAAACAGGCGATCCCAATGCACCCACTGCTTTCCAGTGTCGGGATCACCTGCTTCTCCCCCATCCCTCTGCCTCTGCCTGCTTCCAATGCTGCCATACAAGTCTCCAATGAGCCTGTCTCTCCCTCCCCACCTCTATCTCCACATTTGGACTTATCTGTGCTGCATCAAGGGGCTGATTGGCTGCTGCTGCTGGACATCATCAGCCCCTGAATGCTTGAAACCTCATCCCTGGGTTTATTTTGGGGTTAGGGCTTATATAAGGCCCACTCTAAAAAATCAGGCTAGGGCTTATTTTTGGCAGCAGGGCTTATGTTCAGGGAAACACTGTACTTACTTACTTATGCTGTAGTAAGGGTAGTTAGTTAGTTGAAAAATGGACAACTATATAGATCAGTGGTCGCAAACCGGTGGTCCACGGTCCACTGGTGGTCCGCAAGAAAATTTTGGTGGTCCACAGAGAAATGTCACCCCAAGAACACTCCCCAAAGCAATTAATCCAGGCTGCGTAGGAACACAAGGCTCCGCCTCCCACATGGCTTGCAGGAACCCTCCCCGCCCAAACTTGCCTACTAAGTTGCTATTTTTCCTCCCCCCCAACCATCAGCTGTTCTGCTGTGCCAGGAGATTTAGATTAGTTAGAAAGCAGGAAATTGTTGGATTTCTTGCTTTCTAGCTAATCTTTAGAACTTTGGCTCTGCTTTTAACCTTCCTTAGGACTGAAGCTTCTATTATTCAGTGCAGACTCAGATAGCCGATGATAGAAAGATAGATCTCTGAGTGAATCTGTGATTCTCTGAGCAACTCAATCTGCCTGTCTACTTTGCCTGATTTTGGGTAAAATTTGCTCTTTTTTATTAAAAAAAATCAATATTTACATAAATATTTATAATATTTACATACAAGCCATGACCAGCCAGTCACATGACCACCAAGCCACACCCACAAATTAGGCCATGCCCACAGAACCGGTTGTTAAGAAATTTGCATTCCACCCTGCCTCTCTGTGTGTGTGTGTGTGTGTGTGTGTGTGTGTGTGTGTGTGTGTATGAGGGAGAGAGGGAGAGAGAGAGGTTAGATCAGATCTCTCTCTGTCTCCCTCTGTCAGTCTCTGTCTCTGTCTCTCTCTGACAATGACAATATTGAACATTTGTCAGCCTTCAAGATTTTCTCCCTTTGCTTTGCATCTTTCGACTGTCATAAGTAATAGGGGGAGGAGGGGGAGAATGATTATGGGAAGTGAGCTGGAGGTGTTACAAACCAGAACTGTATAAACTGGGGGGAGTACATTCTTGCTTAGGTTTCTATCCTATGCTATGCGCAGCTGCAACCCTTTATCAAACTTTGTCAAGGTCAATGGACAGAAGCCCCATCACCACCTGGCGATGCCCACATGATGCTATACACAACTTTTAATTGGATGAGCCAATTGAACTCTTGGGGATGGGAACATTGCCATTACTTTGTATATGTGATTTACGCGCCATTTTCTCAGATTCAGAATTCTTTTGTTGCTACCACTTGATTTCCAGTAAAAGATATCTTTTCTCTAATTAATGGAGTCTAAGTATTTCTTTCTTGGATTTTGAATGGAGCACCAGCTGATTCCATTATTTATTCTATGCAATAGAAGGAGTTCTAGGAGACTTAAAATTTAGGAAATATTCACTTTTGCTGTCACTTTTGGTGTTTCATGGATGGATTTAAATAAGCTCAATGCATGCACCTTGTTGTTTTTTCCTGATGAAGAAAAAAGTTTTAGTGTGATAGGGTTCCTTTATCCTTGTGTTAATTTAACTACCTTCTTTAATCTAAAGCCAGAATAACTGTATGTTAAGAGTGTCATCAAAGTTTGCTTGTAGCTAGGTGACAAAAATATTGCAGAGAAACTCACATAAGGATGTTCTCTATTTTGCAAGGTTAGATGAAATTCACATATGAGAAATACTGGCACAATGAGTACACTCTAACTTTGCTTAATTTGGTCCTATAGTTCATGGACCAGATGTAGTGTTGAGAGCCATTTTCATCTGGTCCACAGTTGTCTAGCCTGTGGAATAACTAGGCTTTTAAAAAGTTTTCATTGGCAACAGTGGATACCTTTTAAAAATATAACCTTCTGTTTGGAGAGGATTGGGATGGAATAAATTCCTGAAAAGAAGAAACCATCCCTACTAAGATATTTAAATCTGTCCTCAAGAATCCCTCACTCTCACAAGACCGTGCAGTGTGTACAATACATTTCATGTATATATTTGAAGCTGTCATTGAAGGATCAGTAGAAGAAGAAGGAGGAGGAGAAGCTATCAAAATGATATGACAAAACCTCACAAATATCTGATACTTTGCTTGGAATAATTTCCAGCTATCTTATATTTAAAAGAATTTATATTTTACCAACAAATGAATTCAACACAAAAATAGTTTGTCACAAAAGTGACTGCCTGTGAAGGCTCCTGGATTGGGGCTGCAAAGCAGAAGTGGAAGCAGTATTCTCTGTCCCATAAATGGGTAGACCAGGTTGCCCTGATGGACCAGTCTCACTGGAAAAAAAAAACACTTCTATTTGGAATGTATATTAGATTTTAATTTCATTATTCAATGATGGATTGTTGCAAGATGTATATTTTTTGTTCTTTGCTTTGTTACTGAAATGTAGCAAGTTTGAATAAACTATTTTTTCCCCACTCAATGCATAGGGTGAATCAGGCCCATCAGGACAGATGGGTGCAGCAGGTCCTATGGTGAGTGTATCATATTCATTATTCACATTTATTTTCCTTTTTTCCACCTGTAGGTTTTTTTATTACTATATAAGTGTAGTTTTAGTCTAATTATTGAAGAAATATCTTAATCAATTTTATTTCTTCATTTAGCTGTCTTGTTTAGTTGCTCTTGATTTAGACCCCACAGTCATACATTTAGTTGGGATGGCAATCTATACCAGCTGCCAATCAAACTCAGAAGTAGTATTCAACAGGTTCTGATCAGTTCTGGAGAACCGGTAGTAGAAATTTTGAGTAGTTCCAAGAACTGACAAATACCACTGACAGTATCCTTCCTCTGCCATGCCCACTAAGCCATTCCCACAGAACCAATAGTAAATTTTTTTGAATCCCACTACTGATCAAAGTGTAAGAAAACTGAACAAAGGGGTGATATTTTTTTAAGGTGAAAAAAATTCCCACAGAAGCTATACTAGCAATTTGTTTCCTACAGAGACAATCAACCAGATTGAGCCTTGAAGTAGTAACTAAGAGAATGCAAGGAGATTTTTTAAAAAACAGCAACAACGAAGACAACATAACTTGTCTTCTTTAAGCCAGGGGAAGAACTTTTTTCTATGAATTCAAGTCAGCCATGACCATTGTTGCTGTAGGAAAATCAAATACATTATCTGGTCTGATGTTATGCTTCTATATTGTATTATAAGTTATAATGTATTATGTCTCTTCTGTCATCACTGACCTTAAATGATGATTGACTCTGCTTTTCCCTGTATCTGCTTGTTCTTTTACATTAATTGCAGAGGTGGTATTCAGCAGGTTCTGACCAGTTCTGGAGAACCGGTAGTAGAAATTTTGAGTAGTTTGGAGAACCGGCAAATACCACCTCTTGAGTGAAGATTTTACAGTGTCCTTCCCCTGCCACGCCCACCAATCCACACCCACAGAACCGGTAGTAAAAATATTTGAATCCCACCACTGATTAATTGTATTTAATAGAAACTGGATGTTATGATAGAATGATGATAGATTGTCTTACCCTTTAGGCACCTGCCTAATAATTAACAACAAATTGGAGATGCCATACTTGCTATACATTGCCTCAGAAGACTATTCTTAGTACAGGCAACTATTAAGCAATTTTCTTTGCATCACATACATACAGACCCCACACAAACAACTCACTCACTATTTGGGTATTCAGTATTTGCCTCCAGACCTTGTGGGTACACCATCACTGGAGGAGTACCTCCAGTGACTGGGCAGCCCATTTGTCTGGAGTGGGTCAAGATCTCCTGCTCAAGCAGGGAGTTGGACTAGAAGACCTCCAAGATCCCTTCCAACTCTTGTTATTCTGAATTCTTAGCTGCTTCTTTTATAGAGAAAAATGTATGACACAACATGTTTACTTCATAATGCAAGAGAAGAAAAGGGTTCTGTCTTATTTAAAATATATTTTAAATTCCACTTCCTTAACTGTTTGGGTGTGTGCCTGTATGTTTACCTAAGATTCATTGAACTTTTATTATTTTTATGCTGACTGCCCAGATAATATTTGTTTTGGGGTGGATAAAGGAAATTGTTGGTCAGTCATAACTAGAGTTGGGGAGAATTACAAGCAGATGATCTCCACTTCCTATTTAACTTTGGACTAATATCCTTTTCTTTTGGTATTATTGACTCCAGGGTCCCCGTGGGATGGCAGGAGAAAGAGGCCGAATTGGACCACAGGGCGTTCCAGTAAGTAACTGTTTTTGGTACAAAGCATAGATAAAACCAGTGTAATTGTTGAACAAGGGTGTTAAAGCATCCCCATTTAAGTATCTTTTTGCTTGCTGTTCACTTTAAACTTGCTGTTTATTGAGTTCTAGTTAAAAGCTAATTTTGGAAACACTCAGTTTTGGACAACTGCACTAGAAAGCAACTAAAAAGCATTGGTAATTTCTAATGGCTTTTTTAGACCCCTCATGTAGAAAGAAAATAGCAATTATCAATGCAGACCTATATGTTAGTAGCAGCTGAAAATAACCTGAAACATATTGAAGAAGAAGACTGCTACAGTTCTGTTCAAAACAAATACATTCCCCTGAAGTAGTTAAGAAAATAACAGGGAATGTCTTTTCTATGCCAAGTTATTTCCAAGGAAATGTTCTTACAACTTCAGTCTTCCTTGCAAGAAGACTTTATAATCAATGAGAAATCAATCTCTGTCTTGAGTTACATGTGCAGTAATGAAGCCACTCTGTTTCTAATAGAAACTAGTGGCAGATTTTTTTTGAAATCCCTTGTAGCAATCAATATCCCTTTGGAAATCATGTTCATATAATCAGACTTCTATCTTGTAACCATATTTTTCCCCTTAGGGGGCTCGTGGTTCACATGGCATGCCTGGGAAACCAGGACCAGCGGTAAGTATTTCTTTGGAATCCCCATTTTCTTTAAGTGATGTGACAGATATGCAATTCATAACATCATAATTTATTAAGATATTTTACAGAACCATGCCCTCAACAAAATAGTACTATCTACTATTGGACTTGGACTGCATATCACCTGGATTTCAGTATCCACTATGGTATTTACTGGGTGACATTGGGACAGTGACTCTCTCCCAGTGCAAAGAATCTTAAAGATTTGTGGTAGGAGAGCAGATAAAATCCTTCCTTCCTTCCTTCCTTCCTTCCTTCCTTCCTTCCTTCCTTCCCCAAAACATTAAATATGAGAAAATAAGTAAATAATTTAATAAATACTACTTTAACTAATAGTACCACAAATAACAACAACGTCAATGAATAATCACATCAAACCTTGGGGTGGGGGAATCACATCAAACCTTGGGGTGGGGGATCAATAGTACTGAACATGTTGGAGAACCCTGGCCTTTGCTTACTCCACTACCATCTGTAAACACATGGAAACATATCTCAGATGTCCTTTAAACAAAGCTTTTTCTATAGGTAATGGAGATTAGGTATGACGGTAAGACAGTTTGCAAAAAAGTTTAGAATTTTAAATTTATTTATTTTGTTCAGAAATGCAAAAAAGAAAGGAAAACTAAGTAACTGCCTTATTTCTTGCATAAACAAGACAACAAACAAGCTGCTAACTACATTTCATGGCAAAACAATTTCTAAGTGTGTTCAGTACTTGCAGAAATAGTATCTTAGGTAAAACAGTTAATGGGACTCCTTTGCAGGCATCAGGAACAGTTGACCAGCCAAATTCAGGTCAAAACCTGTAACATGTTCATTCACCTGGATTATTTATTTATTTACTTATTTGTGAAGAAGCTGAAAAAGAAAGAGCCAATTTGATGTAGTGGGTGAAAGTGCTGGCCTAGAAACTAGGAGACTGTGAGTTCTAGTCCAGTGCTAGGCATGAAAGATGGCTGGGTTCCTTAGAGCCAGTCATTATCTTTCTCAGTCCAAACCACCTCAAAGGGTGATTGTTGTGGGGAAAAGAGGAGGAGGAAGGAGTATCATGTACATTCACCATCTTCAGTTACTTATAAAGTAATAAAGGCAGGATAAAAAACTAATAAATAAATGAAAAGAGAAAGGATGTAGCCAATGAGACAAGAGATTTGAGGTTCTCATGCTTAGTTATTGACAAAGTGCCAATACTGTTGGCTATCCAATAGATGTACAAGAGTTAAGATTGAGGAAACATCCAGTTTACAATTCCCTACTTGCTTTCTGGAAATATTTAAACAAACTCAACTCATATAAACTGTTGGTTTTTTCTGATGGAGAAGAAATGCTTAGTGAAATGTACTTACTTTTCTCTTGTATTAATTCAACTAACTTCTTCACTCTAGATATATCCTCATAGACCAGATGTAACATTGAGGGCCATTTCCATCTGGCCCACAGCTGTCTAGTTGTCTAAAACAACTAGGCTTTTAAGAAGTTTTTATTGGCAGCAGTGGACAATTTTTAAAGCCATAATTACTGAGTGCAGGGAGACAGTTGGGAAAAAACACATCCCTGGGGAAGAAAGGAAGAAAGGACTATCCCTTCTCATGTATTGAAATTTCTCTTCAAGAGACACCCACCCCCACAAGGCAATTAAGCTTTCAAATGTGAGCCTCTCTCTATACTCAATTCTCTTTCCAAAATTGTCTCATCACGCCATAGTGAGGACTTCTCAGTCACTGCCAGTGGAGAATTCTAAAAAGCCTGATGAGCAAAGGAACCCTTTCTGCATGTGCATGTGTGTGGCTGAACATGGGTGCATTGTAAGTGTTGTCATCACTGCATTCTAAGGACCTGATCCATTTTAGATGTAATATGGAGTTCAGATTGAATTTCAGATAATTGGTAGAAAGCTTGCAAGTGAATGCAATGGAAGCTGCATTTATTTAAATTGTGGAACATTTCCAAGCAACCCCCCAGCAAGCACCAAACTTAGATCTTTCTTCCCTCCTTTCTGCCTTTCAAGTTAATATGTAGTGGATTATGTCCAGAATGTATTTGACCAGGTTCATGAATCAGTAATGTTAACTTAACAGCTATTATTTTATAGAATAGAATATTCTTTAGAATAGAGTGGAGTGGAGTAGAGTAGAATATTCTTTATTGGTCAAGTGTGATTGAACAGACAAGGAATTTGTCACTGATGCATAAGCTCTCAGTGTACATACAAATAACAAAGTAAGAAAGTCATAAACCACAAATCATAGTTACACTCATTAATCATAAGATACAAACAACAATTGATAAATCATAAGATAATAAGAGATAGTTTGTAACAGAATTTTAAATGGCAAAAAGAAGGAAATATATAGACTAAAAACATCACAAAAATTAAAATATGTGGATATGCACACATATACACATGGTTGATAATAATTAGCATTACATAATTCCAAATTAAATCTCCTTTCATCAGTCTCCAGAGTTGGCTGAAGCAGCCAGCCTGATAACCAGTGGGCAGAAATGTGCCATACATTATCACAAGATCAGGGGAAAAAACCTAAATATGTCGGATAGATTGAGTCATATTGTCACTGAACAATAATGCCAGTAGAAGACAGTGTACATTAATGCATGAATTACTGTTAAAATGAGACAATGATTGGGAAGTAAAAAATAATAATTGTTTGATTTCCTGTGGCTTTTCTCTGTTCAATCTTTTTTCTCTTTCCTGATCTTTTCCCAACAGAAAATCCAATGGCCACTGGGTTTGTTAAAATCTTCTTCTTAAAGCTCCTAAGGAATTCCCCCCCTAAAATTGACTTTTTGGTAAATCACTAGAAATCCTGGACTTTCCCTGGAAAGTGACAACTTGAAGATGAGTGGGCTTCAACTCCCTGAATTCTGCAGGAAGGAATTCTGGAAATTAAAGATAGACATTGTCAAATTGCCAAGATTGAAAAATATTCCCCTAGATCTACTGTATTTCTCCATTGTGCCTAAGTTGTGTCTAGGTATTTTGGTCATGGTAGCACCCATCGGTGAAAAATGGACTTTATTGTTAATATATAAAAAAGCATAATCAAACACGGCAGCCTATCTTTGCCATGAATGTTAGCTGGATGTATGATTCAGGTGGTTGAAACCAGAGGTGGTATTCAGCAGGTTCTGATCAGTTCTGGAGAACCGGTAGTGGAAATTTTGAGTAGTTCGGAATACCACCTCTGACTGACCCCACTCCTATCTATGCTCTGCCTTCTGAGTCCCAGCTGATTGGCTGGGTCTTCTTTTGTTGCCCTGTACAGGAAAATGGAGCTGGAAAGCAGGTTAGAGGGATGGGGAAGGAATGGGATTTTACAGTATCCTTCCCCTGGAGTGGGGTGGGAATGGGGATTTTACAGTATCCTTCCCTGCTACACCCTGCTACACCTACCAAGCCACACCATGCCCACCAAGCCATGCTCACAGAACCGGTAGTAAATTTTTTAAAAATCCCACCACTGATTGAAACATACAACTAAACATTGGCATTCAATGAGCCCTATCTTTAATCTTGCTTCAAAATGTATTCTTTTCGGTGTTGAAAGTGTGTAAATCTCAGTAGAAAAATGAAGGAGAATAAATTAAACCTCCCTTCTCTGGTAAGATGTTCTTGATCTAGATTAGGAATCTGTCCTGTCTATAGGCCACAGGGTTCAACTAATGCAGAGTATTTTATCTAATGTATAATTTGGCAACCGGTCGACTAAATTTGTTGTTTCTGTTTTTTCATTTGAGATTTCATTATTGTTGTTATTTCCCCAAATCTTTCTGCAACTCCCCTTTGTGTGTAGATTGGGTTCATTTGCCTCCAACTTTCTAAAAGAAGACTCAAATGGCTAATAACTTGAAAGAAGATGAGATTTTGCAGGGATGCTTTGAATAAAATTCAATGCAAGGCCAGAAACCACATAATTTTCCCGTTGTCAATCATTTCTGGAACAGATCATTCTTCTTATTAAGATTGCCAGGAGACACATCCTTTACCCCGGACAATATTTTATACTGGAATATGCATCTTGTTCTTCAATAAGAGCCGAATCAGCCAAGGAAAAGAAAAAGAAATCACAGGGGACTAGTGAACATTCGAAAGGATTTGGAAAACATTATAATTGCAGCACAACACTGTCCAGAGATTGCTTAAGCAATCTATCTATTCAGAATAACTAAACACATAAAAAGCATTATACAATTGGAAATCTTTCCACTATTTGGAAGCCGATTTCCTTAGCTAATTAGAGTCATATAACTTTGTTGTTTGTATCTCATGATTTATGTTGGTTGCCTTTATTTAGTATCCCATTATGATTTATGTTGTTTGTTTATTTAGTATCCTATGTTTATCAATGAGTGTTGTATCTTATGATTTATGATTATTGTATTTTATGATTATGATCACTTGTTGCTTGTATGGACACTGAGAGTTTATGCAATGGAGACATGCCACAATCCAAATCCTTAATCTCTACCCACCCCAACACCAAACAGCACTAGTTCAATTGGAGCAACACAAAAATCATTGGTCACACTACCACCCGCCATGCTTATGAATTCATATAAGCCTGGCACTCCACAAGCAATTCCATCAACAGACATGTTGACCTACAATCAGCCTACAAGCCCTCAGAATCCAGATCAACCGCACAATCAACCAGACACAGTACTGACCCTCAATCAACTCCCCTACCAGCAGTTCCCCTCCCAATGACACTGACTGGAGGTAATCTCCTTATCACAAGACCCATCACTAGACTCAATGATGACTCACAGCTGACCCATCACAAGACCTATTTTGATACACCCATAACTGAAGCCCTTATAAACAGAATCCCCTAAACTCTGCTGAAGATGTTATCTAGCCTGCTCATGAAACATTTGGAAACCAACCCACAAACTTAGAGAATGAACCTTCACCTTCACTCTACACCCGAGCTACAGATATTCGCCACTATTGCAATTCTTTTCTATTCTAAAAAAGGATATTTTTCTTTTCTGTGGAAGAAATGAATACTGGCAGAGACTCTCTCCAATATTTATATTCGAGTTAAAACTGGCTAGTATGATGTACATGTTTGATTATTGTCCATGGACTACATTGTCTTGGAAGTGATATATAGTAATAATAATGGAGGGTTGCGTAATGGAGGGTTGCTGGAATGCTGACATTCTGCTAATGTCTCTGATAGCTGATTCTTCATTCAGGACAACATGGAATGTGACATTTTGTGTTGTAACTCTGCTCTGATCTTTGGATGGAACTTTTAGCTGCTTTGCAAGCATTGAACAGTACTAAAGATTTGTTCTGTCTTTCTGCAACTTGACTTTCACTGACTATGCACCATGAAATTCAAAGTCACCAAGTTTGTTTTGAGGAAGTGAAATATTTAAAGAGAACTGTCAATCCAATTCTGTCTCCCTTTAACTTTTATAGGGAATGTATGAGTATCCTCAGGTCAGAAATGGGTAACATTTTCATTGAATTCTTTTTTCACATTTCTTTATCATATATATATAGAATATATACGTGTGTGTGTGTATTTCAATGTGGGAAAAAGTGAAACTGACAGATGTCTCAGCTGACTCCGCTCCCAATTTTGAAGATTCCGTACTTCAAACACAGGCCACTGAGTTTAATAGTTTCAGTTTAGTAAGCAGTAATAGTAGAGCTCCATTAAAGCATGTTATTAGAGTAGAAGACAAACATATTTATGTGTTGCTCTGTTGCTGCCAAAAGTGTTTTGTCTAAAGTGAATCAAAATTAGAAGAACAACAGCATCAAAAGAATACCACTTGGGTTAAATTGGATGTAGTATGCCTGGCCTTTAAACCATTAACTGGCATGAAGAGCAGATTAGGACTTTATCATAGGAAAGGGAGATTTGCTCTGCAAATCCAGATTAGAATACTCTCTTTCCCTGTAACCACATAGAGGAATTATTTGGTACCAACGTAGACTTTTGGCCATTTGCAGAAAGCATTCATCATCATTTTTCAGTGTTGCTTAAAAACATGGCATGGCCAAGGAACAAAACTGCTCAACATAAAATCCTAATATACCTCTCCTGCACCAGCTCTTGGTTAAAGGGAAAAAAACAAAAAAAAACAGCTTTAGCTTTGAGCCTTGGTGACATGGTGGTTGGAAAGCGGTATTGCAGGCTGATTCTGCTGACTGCTGACTGCTGACTGCCAGCAGTTCGGCAGTTTGATCCTGACTGGCTCATGGTTGACTCCACCTTCCATGATTGGTAAAATGAGGAACCAGATTGTTGGGAGTAATATGCTGACACTGTAAACCACGTAGAGAGGGCTGTAAAGCACTGTGAAGTGGTATATAAGTAAGTGCTGTTGCTATTGCTTTATACTATCAAACTAATTTCCCCTGCAGGATTTTCTCCCTTATTATTCAGAGTAACTCATACATCTAATTCTTTCTTAATTCTTTGAAACTTGCGTTATAATCTCTGCCTTTTTGGATTTCACTGTCTTGAGATTAGTCCAGTTATATGGCCTTCACTTTTATTAGTAGTAGTAGTATTTTACACAGAAGTGACTATTTGTTATACTGAAGTGGAAAGCATTAATGTTCAAAATCTAAATTGTCATTTGTTGTCATCCTGAGAGAAAGGATCGGGGATCTGCCATTTTTCACTTTCTTCTACAACCATTAAAAAAATAATATCACATTTTTCTGTTCTTCCCATAACTGAATTGGTGAATTTTGTCATGTTCTTTTACAGAAATTAACAGGAAAAATGCTTACTTTCTATATCACCCAAGCTGCAGGGGTGGGATTCTACTGGTTGGGACTCGTTCTATATAACTGGTTGTTATGATTCTGCAAAGAAGAAGAAGAAGAAGCAGAGAAGAAGAAGAAGAAGAAGAAGAAGAAGAAGAAGAAGAAGAAGAAG